TGTAACTTAGTCAAATGCTTCATCTGAACGTTGATTTCCATGCGAGTCATATATAGCTAAATATAATAAAATTTCCTTACACTCGGCAAATCCTGACTGGTAAAGGAGTTTCGGGATGGAATGATTGTCTAAAGGATATTCCTACATGGCACTTAAATTTTACCCAGCCAAATTTTCATAAATAAACTCCATGAAAGCACGATTCTGTGATTTCTGTGTTGTTGTGTTATTGAAAAACGCAAACAACACCACTGTTCCGTCCGAGGCCCTTCAAAATTTGACGTGACTAAAATTTTTCTATCAAGTAGTTACTTAAGTGTACCTTTCCTCCAGCAATCTTAACATCAATGTGAAACTCGTTTTGGGAATAAAAGAAGCAGTCCTCGAAGACGAAAGCCAGAGAGTTAGTTGACGACTAAAAGTTTGACGGGGGCAAAAGTAATATCATGTACGAAGTAAATAAGTCAAGTTCAGTTTTTTTTTCACGTGAAAAAGTAATCATTGAGAATTCACTACACGTGCAAAAATTGAAATATCTCCAGAAAGTAAATATAACGCGTTATTTTGGACGATGATTTCTCCAGACGTACCAGGAGTCCTCCACCCCACTTGCGATGTTGACAGCTAAAGAAACAGAAGTTATTATCTTTTATTTTCTGCTGAAAACAATGTTGCGCTGACCGAGAATATAATTATGGATTATATTTAGTCTTCTATCGTCTGTATCAGTTGAGTAAGTTACAGGCTATGCAAGAGGCTACGCACTTTGCTGAGGTTTTGCCAAAATATGCGAAGAGGGAGATCATGTGCAGTCAGCTGAAGGAATTCTATGCCCATCCCCGTTCCGTACTTGCTTGATCGGTTTTTCAAATTTCGACAAAAGCCAAAACCGCGAACTAGCTTTTCCGCTGGATACAAGATAAAAAGAGCTGTAATGATTCACAGTGACTCACCCTAACCTTGAATCACGTTCTTAATATAACTGCCAAACCTAGTTTAACATTTGTTTGTTTTGTACATTTCTCTGTGTTTGGTTCACCTTGTGAGTCGCTTAACCTTGACAATGCACGGGTTTGCCGTTAGCCGCTCACAGGTCAATATATTTAAAAATAAAATTAGACTTTGAGACAACTTAATTGTGTAAAAACCAAAATATCCATACCAACACCTTGATTTGTTTTATCCAATTTGGAAATCCACGCGATCACAACAAACGACGAGTTGCAATTGTTGCAAAAGCAAAATTCTGCTTACAACAATGTCTTTGGTTTATCTTTGGTTATTCTACCCCGTAGAAACATATTACCAAACAACAAACAAACAAACAAACAAACAAAAAAACAATGTAAAACATGACGTGGTATCTTTGGTATGTCTTCTATGATATAGCTACCCCTGCTAGATATGTTTCCAATGCGGAAGGGGTCAACTGTATACGGTCTTTGGTCATCGAATTTCTTTCTTTTTTTTTCTTCTTTGTATTCCATCATTTTATCCAATTATCACAATTCTTCCCTACTGAGAAACTAACCGTAGTGCGTAACCCGAGACTGGTGCGAGACTGGTGACTGATAACTGTTAAGCAGAACAGCTATAATCAAAAGAAAGATGGACTTTACAGTGCCATTTCCTAAACCAAACTGAGACCAACGACAAAGTTGTGTCCTCCAACTGCTTCAAGAGACTAAAACAATCTGAAGTCGTCTGTCGAGGATGACCGTTTTTAGAACACGAGTTGGAGATGCTGTATGTTTTCATATAATTGCGTAATCTAAGTTTATAGTTTTTACAATACTCTGAACCTTGCTGGAATTTCCATTTTTGTAATTAATTTTCGTTACAATTAGTACCAGTATCATCCAAATCATCATCGTTATCATTATCAATTTTTATCATTGTAATCAATATTGTGTGAGATGACGAGCTTTAGACAAAAATTCAAAGAATCTCTCTCTCTTTATTACCTTTACCTCCCCACCTTAAATTTCTGTGATTAGAATCTTTCTATGGAAACATTTTCGAAGCCGAGAGTGTAAATTGGTAATGTCAATACGTTGCAGCTTAAGAAAACCAAAATAGTTAAAAATAAAATAATTAATTAAAATAATTAAATTTACCCTAAACGTTTACTCGAGTGTATTTTTTTTAAGTATGGGTGTAATGTGTCAATGCAGGGTAACTTTCATGACTAATCCTTCTAATAGATTCAGTTCTTCTTCATTTTTGTGTGACAATAAACCAATATTAATTTTTTGCAGGAGATCAATGTTAATTATTATCAATTGTTATTACTCAAGTATCGCTATTGTCAATGTCAGTGTTATCTTTACTATCACAACTGTAAACTCTTTATCACCATTATTAAATATAGTGGAAGTAACATTACTATCACTCTCCGTACTCTTTGCTATTCTGAACCTTTGGTGTATTTTATTCGTTAATCTATGGTGACACTAAGATCTCGATCTAATTAATCCGCAGATGTTTTATGCTAACCTTTTCCGGGTTTAATTGCCGAAAATTAACGCGACGTTGATCATAATTGTTTACTTGTCTGCAAGTATAACATACTATAGATGATCCTGACAGATCATGAAGTTGCTCTTAAGGCATTTGCATTTTCTGTCTTCTTAACTATGGTATCTATAGATAGTATGCCTGCCTGTTCACATTTTTTGTATATTTTGACAATCGAAGAACAGATTGGCCTTAGGCAAAATTGAGCACAAGATAATTAAGTGACCCTCCAAAATAAAACGACAAATTACGTGCAGACTAAATCCTGGCTGAAAAAAGATGGCAGAGGTAGATAAGCAAATTTATTGATGAAAAGATCAATGACTTGAAAAATTAGAGGGCTAAATGAACAATCGTGTTGTTGAATTGACTAACGTAGAGTGATCGAAATGACTAAAACGCTATACTTTGAGACAAAGATGAGAGTTGCGAATCAACAGCCACTCGGCTGAAATAAAAACGTATTTTGTGACCTTTCACAGTTTACAGTAATCGTTAAAACTGATGAATCTTATCTTTTAAAGAATTTCCAGAAAATAAGAGGGAAATTCATAAAAAAATCAATTAAATGAGTTGAAGTATAGAAATTCCTCGTTCTACAAATCCAACAGAGATGTCTGAGAAAGGTTTAATACGTTGATAGCCAATTAGGAAGCACTCTCATGTAACAAGTATGGTTATCCATTAATAAAAGGTCAATCTGGTTACAAATTAAAGATTGAAGAAGCCAAAAACTGATACAAAAAGCCCATTATGCGATAAAGAAGTCATATGCTTTCTGATGCGAAATCTTTGGAAATCGAGATCAGAGAGACAGAAACGCCCATCTCTTTTTCACTGAAGGAACGTCCACACTCATGGAGGTATTTGACTCTTTCGTGACTACAGAGAAATTTTTATGGTAACCAATGTTGACTAGAAGGGGAGGTCATGTTAGCCGCTCTTTGATCGACTCATTGCATGAGCATAAAACTCAAAGTCTTCTTGTATAGTTTCAGAAGCTAATTTTTAATAATCGCCTCTGACTAAATGTATCTCGCTTATCTTTCGATTTCACAAGGAGTTTTAAAGATCCATCAGATTATAAAAACGAAAAGGATATCTCCAATTCGGATGAAAAGGAAATATTTTCCACCTCTGCACGAACGTATGAAAAGGAGGTTGTAGAAATTCAGCTCTCGCCGTTTACCTATAACCGACAAGTTGCGACTATCTCTAACTTTGTCGACCAACAGAAAGACCTAAAAAAAATGCCTTGAAGTTTCTAGATCGTTGTTATTTTGGTGAAGAAATGAAAGATCATGATCTCATCGACATCTTCAACCAGGACGACTACCTAAAAAGTCCTCTTAGAACAATTATCCAGTAAACTTTCAAAACGCCGTCGAAAAGCGTACGATCTCGAAGAATTTGCTTAGAGTGGCTCTTGAATGTGCTTCATTAAAATACTTTGCCATTTTAATGATTTTACCTCGGCTTCTTGTGTCTGTTTAACATGTATAATAAAGGGACGCCAAGACCTTGCTCGTTTAACCGATTATTGTCAAAGTCCTTATTTCTCAACAGAAACTAAGAAAATATTTGCTCTCAGGTGAAATATATGAACCTTTATTCGATTCGGTCGTCTATTAATTCTGCTGGATGTGTTAAACTGCAAACTATCTGTATATAGGATAAGTTTAATACTATTAGTTTCTCGATAAGACACAAAAGATGACCAATATCTTTAGGGCCAAGTGACCAAAGAGCTTTTGATCCATGCAGTCATAGTCCTTTCTCGCGATTGTGAGAGTCATGTGGGAATGGGGAATAATTTACCGAAAAATTGCACTTCTATAGTTTTGTGATCAAAGAGTATGCCAGATAACATGTTTAATGAAGATTATTTCCTGTATGCTCTTAGAAAAAAAAGAGCCCAGCAAGATCAGTTTACAAATAGATGCAGTTTCAAACAAAAACAAGAGCAAATATGTTTAGATTTTAGTCACAAATTTCTCAAGTTTGATCTCCATGGCCTGAGCAGTAGGATACCTTATCCAGGTAACGGGAAATAAAAACCGGCCGTTCGTTTTTGCAGAGTCAAAACCAATGATTTAGGAACGAATGCCATTTCGTCAAACCTTTTACAGCGCCAACAATGACTTTGCTGCTTGTTATTTTAAGGGGAAAAATTTGATATGAAAATCTTTTGTGAAACCAACTTAAATGTTCAGCTTTAAAAATTTATAATACACAACACTGCAGTTATTGGGAAAAAAAAGGCTCCTTGGCTCTATCTTAGCACAATACGTGTTACTGAAGTTTGTAAGCCGGCTTAGACTTTGCTCTCTTCAAGCGCTGTCGCTTGAAATGTTAGCCTCCTGAAAACACGCTATCGCGCTTAATCTACCTTCTCGTTTGATTTTACCTAAGTGTTTCACTTTTCCATCGCCGAAACAAATTTCCTCTACAGAAACTGGTCTACAACAAACAATTCTTGTTACCTCTTTTGCAGATTCTTGATGTCGAAAATGAAGTTTGCGTCGCCCTTAGAGGGAGCGGATGGAGCAAGCGAGGGATTCAACCGAGTGGACAACATTGAATGGCACAAGCAAAACCGCAGTAAATGCTGCTCTGAAGAACTTTTAGCGAATGAATTTCGAGGTCTTATGTTCATCTTGGGGCTCAAAGAAAAGAAGGTGAAGATCAGTTTATTGCACGTGATAAAATCGCTTGCGCAAAATCTTGTGATTGTCACAATTTTATTATTGCTTTTTATCCTAAGAGAGTGTAATTTCTTTCCAAACCCTCTTTCTGGTTACCCAAAAATATTGAAAAAAAATTAAAACTGTCCTTTGCAGCTGCTACAGGCCGATTACTGCGATTACTGGTTTCAGTCCGCTCAATGTAATAACAATGCAACGGTCTCCTATGGGCAGCTTTGGTATTGGGTCATTTTTTTCGCGTGACTAATTTATCTGTTGTCAACCCTTAGGATATAAAATTGGATCATTCTGAATTTCCTGTAGACAAATTTTAATTGGAAAAAATAATACCTATTGTCTGGTCTTGAAAAAACGATTAGCCTAATTCATTATTCTCCTGTGCTTTGGCCCTCTTATTTTCCATTGTCTTCGACTTTTGTTTTCTTAGTCCAGTTTTTTATCGTTTCCATCTAGCAATCTTCGTTTTTTTTTATACATTTATATTATATATTCTCTATATTTATGAAAGCTTTCAAATAGGTTAAAAGAATAATTGACCAAAACCACATTTTTTTAATCCAGAGCTTTGCACCCTTACAAAAAAAAAGTGAAAAAAAAAAAAACTAAACAAAAGAGTGCAATAGACAAGTAAGGACTTATAAAGATTTTTTTCAACCGATTGAAGAGGGAAAAGAAGCTGAATTTTTGTTAAAATTGAACTTTGTTACTCCAATCACAGCAATTATCACAGCAAGTAGTTCGAATTTCTCCATCTTTATTTTTTTCTAGGATTCAAACCTGGAACGTGCATAGCTGGTAAGGAGACGAAGCAATTTGTATAAACTGTGGCACTACGCTAATCCGCTAAACCAAATTCTCTCGTCTGTTCGAATTTTCTAGAGTCTTATTTTAGAGCCAAATTGTTTCACTGTTGTTGAGATTGTTGGACGTAATGTGGGATCAAAGTGATATTTTCCTATAATATAATTTTCAAAGGAAATACAAAACTAAGGACTGGCACGTAACACTGTCACGCTCAGTGTTTCAAGTGCATCTGACGAGTAGTTTGTACATCGACAGTACGTTTACTGGCAAAAAATGTCTTCTACAACTCATTAATAAAGACATGATACATTCTAATTTCAGTTTTGCGCTTGTTGTCTTTCAATCGTTTTTTAAAATGTTTTAGAAACAGAATTAGTCTGTTATAATGGAAGTACTCAAACTTGTTTTGGTGCTAAAAAAGTTGAAAATTGAAACGAAACCTCTCTGTTTCACCTAAGGAAAGAACAAATTTCAAAACATCTTTTCTTAGCCGTTAAGGGAGTTGGTTAAATTAGTCCTCCTGGAATTAAGTAATAAATTGACAGAAACATGTCAGCAATGGCACTGTGATACAAACAGAAGATGATCGAAAAATTCTAAACCTAAATGCTAATGGTTTTTTTACGGAACTTTCTCATAGGAAACGGTTGAACTGGCGCATTGCAGCAAATACCATGAGGTATTTGTTTTCAGCAAAAACTTGAGGGTTTTTTGGCACCTCAAGCCCCACCTGTCGATTCGCACCCTCGACATCAAAACAAAGCTGGCAAAGGGTTTAAACGAACCTTTACTTTACCGCTGTAAACGCGAATTCTAAAAATACTCTTCAGAATTATGTGTATATTATTGTTAATATCCATGGTCGAAGGACAAAAAGTTTGGTTTTTTTATTTCCACTGTTCCATCTTTGGAACAACAACTTTCGAACATCATGGCTTATTTTTCTCGTTTTTGTATATAATAATGCATATGTTTAGCCTTGATAAACGCTAAAACTCTAAGTCTGGTTGAGAACATACCTTATAAAACTTTGTTGACTGGTTGCAGAAATGTCATAGTCCAAATTTGCAACTGAATCCAACATGGTGGAACTAAAATAATGAGTTTCGATGTGTTAAAATCCTCACTTAGTAGTGCAATATTCATGTACCAGCAATTAACATATTCTTACACTTTAGCAAGAGTTGACTTTCAGCTTAAGAGCATTTTCAGACCGAAAAATAGTAATTATATGTTCGGCTTTCCATTAAAATTGATTTCAAAACTAGTTTCAAATGAATAAATGACTGAGAGAAAATTAAAACAGATACCGAAAAGAGAATATGTACACGAAAAGGGACAATGAACAACTTACAATTTGAGAGTTATAGCAAGGTGCAGATAAAATGCTTCTTCCCCTCAGACAGATTCAAGGTGTCCTTGGTCAAATGAAGAAGTGTTTGCTTCAATGACAGCTCTAGTTTTATAAGTAGAGCTCCTGATTGAAGCAGCTGACTGGCCGAAGTTTCTTTGCTATTTACGTTATGATTCGCTGCCAAACACAATCACGAGATGGAAACAAGATTTTGTGTAGCCTTTATGCCACATGAATTGAGATCACGTTTATACTAAAGTAGTTGGAACTTTCAGTGTCTCTCCAGGTAAAATTACAAAATTTACCGACTCAATCGAACGTCGGTGAATCATTCTGCAGATTCCATGTTGCAAAGTTTGAATACTATAGAGGCTGATAAAATCCCCCAAACAAAAGCAATCGGCCATTTTGGCTTTCGTTGCTCACGTGCCAAGATTTCTGGCAAAATTGTACATTTCCCAAGATCACTTGGATGATGTGCTATTTCTATCGATGAGCTAGTTTGTGATCTTATAAAAATCACTAGAAAGGTACCTGTCGTCGATTTCTTTGAGAACTAAGGGGTGTTGCAGGATACGAACAGATTACCTATTTTAATGCAGAGAAAAATTCTTTATTATTATGGTGATAAAAACCAAGCGAAATGATACTTTTCAATTTCCTTTGGTGTCGAGGTTGTAGACTGAATCAGTTTCTCTATGTAAAGATTTGCAACTTAAGTGACTAAGGCAATTTACCACAAGGAAAGAAAAATTGATGAAGCATCCTTCGTAACGTTCCTTTCCCTTGTTTCTCATACCAGGAAAAACGCTTTGCAAAGGTGAAAATTTTTAATTTACGAGACATAATCTAAAATAATGGCGGAGAATTTATTCTAATTAAAGACGCGTGACAAAAAAATTGATATCATCTACAAAATATTGTCTATCTCGAATTTTTTTCTTAAGTCGGTCAAGGGTATTACAAACGTTCATGCAATGACATGTTTTTAAGTTTTAATTTTACTCCCAAATTTGCACAATCATAACAGGTTTTAAAAAGTTTTTTTTAAGCAAGAAAGAAATATGTCTATTTTTGTTTACATTCATCTGCAAAAGGCGATGTTCACTTCTTAAACATTACCCTTTAACAGTATAAAGGTCAGTTGCTCACGGAGGACTGGCATGAAGGTAGAGAAACCCATCATGTTATGGGGGTCGAGGGTTGAAAAGAGGGGGCTAAATTCCCTCAAAGGGTTTAGAAGGAAAAACGATTTTAGACACAGGGTGTGGTCTGAAATAGGGGCGGATTGGACTCTTACGAAACGATTGTTGTATATTATATAGCGTCATTTTTAAAGTAAACTGAGCTGTCAACTTTGTGAATGGGTCGCACACGCCCATAGCTTATCGAACCCCTGAAAGAGTAGTTTCATGGGGTTTGGACTCGGAGCACGTTTTTGCATGAAGTCTCAAAGGAACATTTATTTATTATAGAGAAATTTCTTGAGAAATTCACATGAATTTCTCGGCTTTGACAATACCTAGGACACGGGAGAGAATTATTCACGTAATCATCTTTGAAAATAGAGAATTCCGACGGGGCATCAACTGCATCAGTAATGTCATAAGAAATTGAACGGTTCGTCTCTGAAAAGCACTTTTGACGTTATACAAAATTTTGTATTCCCTTATCAGAGTATGAGAGATCATTAGACGAGACAAAGTTAATAAACCAAAAATAGCTGTGATGAAATGATGAAAAATTGTACTTGAGTTTGAGTGGTGATTCTTAAAATTGCCACTCTCTGACAAGATGAATCTCTTTTCCTGCTATTGTTAGAATCAAGAGCCAATTGTTCATCTTATCGCCAGAATATAACAATTTATTTCGAAAGTTAACGCGCCAAAAATCATGAGTATTCATGGCATGAGGACTATATTTTTCCTCGTGCAAACTGGTGTTTTTGTGTAGCCCCTTACGGTGCCGTACTTACAGCTGCCAATCAGAGCGAAGGAAAGTAATACAAGTAGCCTAAACAAGCAAGTTGCCCGAAGAACGGGAAAACGCGAGTGACCAAGACGCAGCTGCTTTTGCTTTCTCATCTGATTGGCTGCGATGGTGGCGCAAAATTTACAGGACCAATCACAGAAAGAGAAAAGCGAAACCGATGCAATCCCAGACAACCCTTGACTCCCCTTTGAAAATTGCTGGAGTGTAAAATTCAAAAAGCTTCCCGACCGGCAAAAGATATCCTTAATGCATATGTTTCGTGAGAGAGTATATAACTTGTGCTGGGCTGTAAACGCGGAGCTGTTGAACGTGCGAGACTGAAAACGTAGAACGGTGTGAATGTACAGCTCCCTAGAGATAAAACTCATGGATAACATAAGACAGTTTACAGCCGTAACTAGACACTTCAGATGGTTGAAAAAGTTCAAAGTACGTAGGTCAAAGCTTTATCACGCAATATCAAATAGAGCTACGCCCAAGGATCGAATGGTCAAAGGTCGTTAACTTTATCATGACTCAACTGAGGAAATCTGCACTTGCCATCGGATCTGTAAGGGCATCAGTCTCTTTGCTTGAGTAGAATATGTCATAGTATCTTTTTTTTTCTGGTCACACGAATAGAAAGGAGATGGCATGTCGTTTAATGGTATAGCTCAAACACAATTTACTAATTGATTCATTGTTTACACAAACTATGAAACAGAAGTCATATGGCTGTCATATGACACCGGAGAATGAATAGATTGGGATTGAGAAGTTATCACGAGCTTGATAAATAAGACAGAGAGACAAAAAAGTTGTGCCATTCAGACAACT